GTCTGCCTTGGACTTTTTTTTTTACCTCTGCAAGTATTGTGCTTTGGGTTTCATACTACAAACATAATACACAGAGGGGCTGTGGGAGATGAGGAAGAGACACAGAGGGTCTAGGCAACGAAGGAGACACATAAGGGCTAGAAGGAGAAGGAGATACACACAGAGAGGCACACCAGGGGGAAGAAAGAGGCACACCGAGAGGCATGGAGAAAGAGACACAAGAAGAGGCTTGGCTGTGTAAAAGATACAAACAGATGAGCTGTTTGAATGGGAGAAAGATACACACAGAGGAGGAGAAAGATACACACAGAGGAGGAGAAAGAGACACGTCAAAGCTCTAGAAGGTGTAAAAGAAAAACACAGATGGGCTGGGGGGGTCAGGAAATGATGCTGGGGGGAAGAGACATACAGAAGGGCTTAGTGGAAAAGAGAAAAAAAGGGACTTGGGAAAGAGACACACAAGGGACTTAAGGGAGAAAAAGACACACAGTGGGGCTGAGTTGGGGAAAGAGAGACACAGAGGATAGGGGAAGAAAGATATACACTGGGGAGGAGACACACGGAGAGGCATGGAGAATGAGACACAGAAAAGGGGTTGAGGGAAGAAAGACACATACAGAGGAGATGGGGGGTCAGAAACAAGATGCTAGAAGTAGGGCCGGTGAAAGGATTTTTGACTACACAGCCGAAGATGCATTTTCCTTGACCCCCTCCCCCCAACGCATGGGGAGAAAGAGACACACAAATGGGGCTGGGCGACAAAGAGACATACAGAGGGGATAGAGAAGGGACACACAAGGGATCTGGGGGTGAAACACACAGAGGGACTGTGAGGAAAGATACACAAGTGAGGGAGTAAGAGACACAAAAAGGAGGGTTGTAAGAGACACACATGGGGGAAAATGGGAGACAAGATACATTAACGTGGGTAAGACAATCAAAAGAGGGGATAAGAAACACAAAGCGGGGCAAAGAAATTAAAAAGGGGGGATAAGAGAAACACAGCTGAATATTTTTTTGCTATGGAGGTGTGGCAAAATAAATCTTCATCCATGTAGACAAACGTGCTTGCACCAGCCCTGAGTCAATCTTTATGGAATTCATGCAAATGACATTGTATATTAACTAAATTTGTATTTAGGTCCTGTGTTTTTAACAAGCTCATTGGTTGGCATACTAGCAAACTCAACAAGCTAATTTGGGGTAAAAAATAAAACATTACTTTTAAACTCTTGTATTACAGTGTCCGGAATTGGCTTGTTTAAAGCAAAGCTGATCTTTACCAAGTATATGATCGGCTCAAACAATGTGGCACCAACCTCACACACATCCCAAAATTTGGAAATACCTTGTAAATTGTTTTTAATAGGGTTTGTTCAGTGCACAGTGAATTCTGTTGAGTTAAGACCAACTTGCTAAATTTTGGCTAAAGGAGCCTGGCCAGATAAGTCCTACATTTCAACCAATTTGACTTTAATATTTAGTTTTGTTACTAAACTGTGAATTATTGGGAACTTTTTAATTTGTTTTTCATTTGAGTTTGAATACTCGGAATACAGCATTGCCGCAGTATGCAGTTAGGAATAATTTGTCATCAACATGAAACATAAATAATAAGTAACTTTAAAGAGTTGCCAAGGTTGGTATGTGTCAGATAGTGGTGTATACAGACTATGTGTAGAAGGCAGTATATACAATCTACAGGAACTGTCTATATATGCGCATCAACATTGCGGAGCCAGAGAGGTCAGCATTTAAAGTGGGTGGTCTGGGTCCGGTTTTCATTGCAGGTGCTTGACGTCTGTGGGAGGCCCAGAGATGGATTGTGTTAGCTTCGCGGTATAGTCTAAGAGTGTCTCTTTGGTAAAGTTGGCATGTGTAAGCCCTTCTTTGGCCTTTGGTTGCTTTTGGTTTCGCGCTGTGTGGGATTCCCTTCGTCTCTGGATTCCCTTGTGTTTTTTTCCTGTAGGTTCAGCCACCGGAGGAATAGCATTTGTTCATCTGCGGAGGACAGGGTAAGTGTCTGTTCTCCCCGTGGTACCGCCAGGGATCCATCTGCACCCCACCGGTATCTGATTCCTGCGTCCCTTAGCCGTTTGGCTATTGGTGCCAGCTGGCGTCGTTCCACAAGTGCTGCATATGGGAAATCCCTATATAGGGCCACTGCGCTGCCCTCCATTTGTACTGTGCCTAGGACTCTGGAGCGGGACATGATGGTAGAGTGGGTTGCCACATCCTTTGTAATAGCTATAATGTCTCTGGGTGCGTCCCCGGGAGCTGTTGCAGCTTTTCAGATTCTGAACACGGAAATTATCATGTTTGGCTCAGCTTTTGGGAACTTTTAATGCGGCTCTGTCACTCCCCCATTATTCCATAAAAATAAAATATATATGAAATACTCCCATTGACTGTGTCGAATTTCACTAATATTCCAACCCAATCAAATTATATACTGAGACAAAGTAGGGACTATTTTGTCTCAGTATATTTCCTAAGCTTGACAAAACTTGATAAAAGGCAGAGCTACTGCTGTCGAGTTTTGTAATTTACCCCAGCCGTCCCCATGACAGCTGAGGGGAAAAAGGCATTGTCTAAGGAGGATCCCTCTATAGACCTCAGTTTTATTTTCTTGGGTATATAAAACTCAAGTAACCCTGTGGCCACTGGAAAACCCGCGGATCAGGTACTTGCAACATAAGCAAAGACCCTAGACAGTGACAGAGCTGCTTTAAGTACATAAATTTAAAAAAAAAAAACGAGTGAAAGGGGTGGTTTACTGAAATCAGAGATTGGTGTGAGAATATATGCAGATCAGGAAAAGACAAAAATGAGGTAAGATAATACAGCATGAGCAGGGTTTTACTTCACTGCAGAGGGCAGATGGCATGCAAATATATGTATTTTGTGGTTATGCATTCATAAGCAACCTCTAAACGAAATGGTATCGAGTTGGGAAAAACAATAAATGAGAAGGACTCAGGATATCTATAGCCAACACGCTAGGCTACAATGTTCAATGTCAGGTAGCTGCTTCTAAGGCCAGTAAGTACTGACAAACTCTGAAAGAGGTGTTAATTCACAAAGCAAAATTAAAAGATTGCCTATTTATAATTGTAAGATCCCTCTTTGAATATGCAGTGCAATTTTATTGCTCCTGCTTTAACCCCTTAAGGACCAAACTTCTGTAATAAAAGGGAATCATGACATGTCACACATGTCATGTGTCCTTAAGGGGTTAAAGAAGAATGCTATGGAACTAGAAAGAGTGCAAAGGTAGGCTACGAAAAATAATGGAAGAATTTTGTTACGGACAAAGGCTAGAGAACTTTTTTTACCTAAAAATCTATTCATTAGGAGGACTGTGAAAAAGGACAAAGTCACCCATTTAAACTTGAAAAAGTGGAAATTTTACATACAGCACAGGATATAGTCCTTTACAGTGAGAACCATAAATATGTGGAATTCTCACATCTAACAGCCTAAATATGTCTGGATGTTTATTTGGGAAAATATCACATGCAAGGATATAATAGTTAACATGTGGGTTAAAAGCTTATTGATCCAAGGACTTAACTAACTACCAGCTTGGAGTCAAATACGAATTTCCTTCTCAATTTATGGCAGCACTGAAAATCGCTTTAAATTTGGCTTTTTGCATTTCTTCTTGAAAAATAGTTATGTAGATAAGTTAAATGCTCAACTTTACAGACATGGGTCTTTTTCATCGTATATTACTGCTTAACTACGTAACCATGGAATTTGCAATTGTAAGCTGAAATATTTTTTCAGTTTGCTTATTCCGCAATTCCTTAGTGAATAGCTGTCATTGTTAGTTATGAAATAAAAGATGTTTCCAGCAATTATACTCAAACATTTCACTGTTACTTTCTAATACAAAAACAAGTGTACACAATATGTGATAAGCTAAACTAACCAATGTACAACACACATCACCAAATACTATGCACTTCTGTTGGTACAAATTATTGCAAAAATAAAAATGTTAACTGGATCCTATAGTGCCAGGAAAACAAACCCATCCTAGCACTATAGGCTCTTGGAGTGCCCCCTCCCTCAGGTCCCCCCTCCCTCGGCTTGAAGGGGTTAAAATCCCTTCAGCCACTTACCTTAATCCAGCGCTGGGCTACCTCTCCTCCCCCGCCGACGTCAGCTCCTAAGTGGAGCCGAATGAGCATGGGCGGCCAGAGGCGTGAGCGCATTTAAACAGGCCCACAGGAAAGCATTAATCAATGTTTTGAGTAATCAAAAGCATTACTCAAAATTTGATCTTTTTTGAAGCTGGAGGTTCGTGAGGACGTCCAGTGTCAAATAAGTGCAATTTACTCAGTGTAAATCGTGGAAGCGTCTATAGTGGCTGTCAGGCTGAATTAACCCTGCAGTGTAAACATAGCAGTTTCACTGAAACTGCTATGTTTTCAGCTGCAGGGTAAAACTAGGGGGACCTGGCACCCAGACCACTTCGTTGAGCTGAAGTGGTCTAGGTGCCTATAATGGTCCATTAAGCGTCATTATAGTAATAAAGAATTACATGCTTAAAGGAACTCTATAGTGTTAGGAATACAAACCGGGATTCCTAGCGCCTTAGTTTGCTCTATCCATGACCTAGTGTCATGAAAGAGTTAATGTTACGGAATCACTGGTGCTCCTGCCTGTGAAGTCAAGACTGTGCTTAATTTAATTAACTGATCAGTGATTGAGTCAGTGTTTTGCAACCCAGACTTGGTGGCACTGGGAAGGGATTCTTCTCTTGTTCTGTTGATCACCCCTGCTGCTGTTCCCTCTATAAATATCTGCTTGTTATGCCAGTAAAATTCGTATTTATTTTAGCCACACTTACATACATTATGTTTTGTCTTGTGTATGGGGTAGGGGCTATTATATCTATTGCTGTACCCTGTGGCTAACATTTGTTAGCAGCAGGTGGTAAATTACTCCCTCCCTCACAGGGTACTGAGGAAGCAGTGCCGAGCACCCGGTGGATGGAGCAGCACTACCAGAAACTTAATAGGAGTACACTGAAGGATCTCCTGGCAGTCCAACGACAAGTGACCAGTAAGAAATTGAAAAACACTTTGATTGCAGAACTAATGGAGAGTGACTGTGCCAGCAACTCCTCTTTGGGAGGCTCAGAAGACTCGGACTTCCAGTGCGAAGTAAGAGGTTTAACTGGCATTAGCGGGGCCTAACTTTTCAATTGAGAAGATTCTCAGAATCATGGCCACAGTCACAGTAGCTCAGCAGGCAAACTGATTCTGATGGAGGAGATACAGCAACAACCCAGGGAGGGGACCTTTGCTCTCGGAGACATGAGAGGTAGCCGGAGGAAATTGCCATTTGCAGCCTGCAAGTCATTTGATGAAAGGGAAGGAAACATCAATAGTGCTTACAAGAAGTCGAAGTGCAAATATGTGTATACAGATTATTTGGTAGAAAAGGTTTTGTTTGCAGCATCTGCTTGAGCAAGTCTCTTAAAATATCAAATAGCACCATCTAGTGATACATCAGCAGAATGCACAATACAGATTGAGTAGCAGTCACCACATGTACGCATTTCATATAGCTGTAGTTCTGCTGATCCGTTCCTAACTTAGGATCTGAGGAATTTTGGCCCATTCTTCTTTATAATCCATAGTGATATCTACTATATCTGGAACAACACTAACATATGTACATCGCTTCCTACATAAGAATCATTGGGAAATCAAGATTTGATCATTAATCTACTTTCTGGGTGAAGTGGGCATCATACAAAGTAAATCAGAGCAATGGGAACTGCTTAGGGAGACAGACTTCTAATAATAAAAGTTCCTATGCAGACGACCATATTGCATCATCTTATTATAGTGTAGTTAATTTTCCGAATATCTTGGAGGAAGCAGTTCAAATTTGATGATACAAATGATATTTTAGTGGTTGCTAAATGGCTAATTCCTCAGAAGAAAGAAGGGTTTGATTGCATGTGACACATTGGTAAATTTTCAAGCTGGACAGAGGTGGCAAGTGGTGTCCCTCAGGGGTCTGTTTATAAATGATCTTGGAGAAAGCATTGAAAGTCATGTTTCAGTGTTTGCAGATGACACAAAACTCTGTAAAATAATACAATGTGAGCAAGATATTACTTTGCTGCAAAGGGATTTAGATAGACTGGGGGACTGGGCACTCAAATGGCAGATGAAATGTAATGTTGAAAAATGCAAAGTTATGCACTTTGGCGTAAAGAATGCACAAGCAACGTATACCCTTAATGGAAACGAATTAGGGATAACAACACACGAATGGGACTTGGGAATTGTTATAGACAACAAACTATGCAACAATGTGCAATGTCAATCAGCAGTGGCCAAGGCCAGTAAGGTATTGTCATGCATGAAAAAGGGCATTCATTCTCGGGACAAGAATATAATTTTGCCTCTTTATAAATCACTAGTAAGACCACATATTGAATATGCCGTGCAATTTTGGGCACCTGTTCTAAAGAAGGATATTATGGCACTAGAAAAAGTGCAGAGGCGGGATACAAAATTAATAAAAGGAATGGAACATATCAGCTATGAAAAAAGGTTAACAAATTTAAACCTATTTAGTTTAGAAAAACGTCACCTGAGAGGGGATATGATAACATTATACAAATATATTCGGGGCCAATACAAACCATTGTGTGGAAGTCTATTCACAAACCGGACTTTACATAGGACACGAGGTCATGCGTTTAGACTGGAAGAAAGAAGATTTCGTCTAAGTCAAAGGAAAGGTTTTTTTTACAGTAAGAACAATAATGATGTGGAATTCTCTGCCTGAAGTGGTTTTATCAGAGTCCCTACAGATGTTCAAACAGCTACTAGATGCATACTTGCAAAAACTGAATATTCAAGGATATAATCTTTCAATGTAGGGTAATAACTGCTTGATCCACGGATAAATCTGACTGCCATACTGGGGTCAAGAAGGAATTTTTTTCCTAGCTTGTTGCAGAATTGGAAGTGTTTCAAACTGGATTTTTTTGCCTTCTTTTGAATCAACAGCAAGGAAACTGAACTTGATGGACGCAAGTCTCTTTTCAGCTACGTAACTATGTAACATTATGTTTAAGACACACAATAATCCCATAAGCACTTATTCTCTGAATGATGTAGTTGTTATGCTCTGTATTCAAAGCTAGTGAGTGGATCTTACTGCAGTCTTTGTTTTCTTCACATGCAACTTGTACAGCAATTGGTGGATGCCCATAAATTCTTTATATATATCTGAATCCTGGACTGGCTATCTGGCAAATCAGTTAAATGCCCAATGGGCCGTGAGGTCTCTGGGCCAAGGTTGAGTTGGGAGATCAAAAGATTGGTCGGTCTATGTAGGGCCGACATTAGGTGCACCCACTGACAGAGAGGCGCAGGTAGCATCTGGTCTAAATAGTTTAACCCATACTAACCTATAGCCTCACCTAACTCTGAATAAACTCTAAGCCTGACCAAATCCTAAGTAAAATCTAACCCTAACTGTTAAGCTGTTAGCTGTTAAATCATATAGCATACAGTGAATTGTGTAATATACAAAGTACAGTATAGAGGGTTCTGTGAGGACTTACACTTTCCAGAGTAATATACATAACCTCTTGTGAGTAGAATTTTAGAACCATGAATAAACATAAAGGTACACTATAGTCACCAAAGCAACTTTAGCTTAATGAAGCAGTTTTTGTGTATAGATCAATTCTCCTCAATTTAGGAATTAAATCACTTTTGTTTCTGTTTATGCAGCCCTAGCCATGCCTCTCCTGGCTGTGACTGACACAGCCTGCATGAAAAAAAAATGGTTTCATTTTCATTCAGATGTAACTTACTCTAAAAGTTTTTTTTTTATCTCCTGCTCTGTAAATTGAACTTTAATTACACACAGGAGACTAATGCAAGGTCTAGCAAGCTAATAACAGAGCAGAAGATAAGACATTCTAAATTAAACAGAATTTGCAATAAAGGAAGTATAAACATTAGATAACTCTTTACAGGAAGTGTTTAGGAAGGCTGTGCAAGTCACATGCAGGGAGTTGTGACTAGGGCTTCATAAACACAGTGATTTAACTCCTAAATGGCAGAGAATTGAGCAGTGAGACTGTAGGAGCATGATATATACAGAAATACTGCTTCATCAAGCTAAAGTTGTTTTGGTGTCCCTTTAAATTCCACTTATAGGTACCAATTCTTATATAACTACTTAGTATTGCTATCACTCCTATATGAAGTCTATTTCCAACATTGAATGCTGCCCTGCCTAGTTACACATTACACTATTGGCTATTGGCCAATGCTGTGGTTGAATCTCCTTAAATATTTCCACAGCAGCTACTTATCTGGCCTCCTGCTCTCATTCGTATTATATTCTACCTTCAGTCATCATATTTATCTCCCTTTCCTCTAATTTTTAGATATCTGTTTAATACTTCAGAACTACACACAGATTATACTAGGTCTTTTCTAGGTAAAAAAAAACTTGTTATGTTTATTATTTTTATTTTTGGTTCAATCCACAGACAGAACACAAGACAGCAAATCATATGGTCATCCATGCAACAATGATTACTTTGCATGTAAACTGATAACCTCACAAATATCAAATTATGTCAAAAAGGCTATGGACTAAATTTATATATTAATCAACAAATGATCTAATACACCTCCAAAACTGATTAGCAGAACTGTAATAACATCATCCTTAACCCCAGGTAAAAGAGGAATGTTTTACAAAAAAAGATGACTTTTTTGGGGTGCAATAGGGTATACATGTTTAGTCAGCAAGCAACAAACTAGATATGGGTATTAATAAAACCCCCAGACAAGGGGAGGAGGTTTGTATTGATCTGAAAGCATGAGGACGGTCATCACTGTATAAAATTAAATCAAAATATTAGGTGGTCGATTGCTATTGCAGAGCCTCCAATTGATGTGGCCGGCTTTGTAGATCTTTGCGATTTGTGCTCCTTCATAACGGCTGTTGTGACCAGAACTCAGTCCGGCTTAGATGTGCCGCCTTTGGCATATTTCTACCAGGTATGTGTTTATCCTCTTTATACGATATCCAGAAGATGTCAATGACGTGGAGGATATTCCAAATAAAAAATAGAAGAGGTCTTGCTTACAGTTGACAGAGCTTAATCCAGCTCTGGTGTTCACCAGAGCTGGATTAAGCTCTGTCAACTGTAAGTAAGAACTCTTCTATTTTTTATTTGGAATATCCTCCACGTCATTGACATCTTCTGGATATCGTATAAAGTAGAACTTTGGATACAACGATATAGATCCCATTGGACTTAATATCATTATCTATTGTGCACAGTGGCGCAGACCCATCCCCCATTTTCTTGCTTTGTCTATTTTTTTCCAGGGACATTAGAGGGAGTCCTTGTTTTGGGACTGCTGCCTTCCTGATTAGCGCTGACTCTACTCCTTGTTTTGTTATGTGTTTATCCTCAGCCGCTAGGGACAAAACATCCGACAGATCAGAGCAATCTTTGGAGTGGGAGGCTATCTAGGGCTCAAGTGTGATGGAATTTCGGTGAAATGTAAATTTAGTAGGCCGAGATTTCCACGTGGCATATGTAAATACACGTGTATGTTGTATCAGTTAGTTAGTTACACATAGCTAAGATACTGTCATAAATGTACTGAGCATGTGCAGGAATGCAGTAACTGAAATCACATTCCTTTCTCCTTTGTTTCGGATGAGCCATGTGGTCTGCCCATATAAGGAAATCCAGATCCTGTCCACCGATTGGTTAAGGGTATGTGCGGGTGGAGATATTAATGGGAGGAGTTATAGTTCTATAAAAAGCATGTACTCCATGTGTTCGGCCCTCAGACCTGTTTTGGAACGTTAGTTCATCTGAGACCCGATCGGTATGTTAATAAAGACCTTTTACTTCCTAAAGACCTGCATCCATCTCTCTGTGTTCTGCAAGTTTACTCATTTACGCCTTGTGTCTGCCACAGGAGATTGTCGATATTCATACACCCAGTCCCATGTTTTTTGTTTTTTAGATTCACAAACCCATGTTGTATTACCTGATCTGGGGTTCCAGTTATCATCCCAGATTTGGATTAAAAGAGGAACAATGTTAATAGAATTGGCTATTAGAATTGTCTAACACTTCAGTGGCTAGATT